GACAAGCAAAGGCTTAAGTGTGGGGGAATTTGATAAGTCCATATTTTGACACGTATTTGATGCGTGTTGAGATTGGCTTTTGATGATTTTCCTAGATTTAAGGTGTTACAAGTCTCAATTTTAGCTCAAGTTATGTTTACCGGGCGTTGGTTCGAGTTTTGTGTTGTTTGTAGTCAAAATCAGGGAATTTGAGCCCGGCACCGGCACTTGAGGAACAATCGGGATGATTTGAGAAGAATTTGAGAATAATTTGATAGATTTGGAGGTCACCGGAAGATTCACGACGAAGATTTGACGACAAAAGAGCTATAGGATTGGCTTTGGGATCAAAAGAAGATGAATGAAGCTTGAAAACGACGATCAGGATGACCTTTGGTCAATCGTTCAAGCATATCTCTTTGTAGAAGCATCCAATGGACACGATTCAAGTTGTATATGAAAGATAACTTCAAGGGATGCAAATCATATGAAGACACCTTTGCGAAAATCTGTGAGGAAGAAGGTGAAAACAGACGATAAAGTCAAATGATCTCTGCTGCGATTTCAGAATGACACCTTCCACTGTGTTGATCATATCTCTTGATTGGATGATTCAAATCACATTCGGCAAATTGGGTTGGATAGAAGACTTCATTTTCTACAACTTTCATGAAGGAAGTTTTGTCAAATTCGGAAGTTTGACGCACGTCGTGCGTAGGGGAACGCATGATCGTGCGTCTGAGGCGAGAAAGCAAGGGAGACACTGCCATCAACGCACGGACGTGCGTAGCTCCGGGTTACACGAAATTGAATCCCAATTCGGCCCAAATTCATATTTTCCCACCTTTTTCTATAAATAAGGCCTCCCTAACCCTTTTTAAGGGTTACGAACGTTACGGAGAGGCCTAGGGACGAATTTTACACCGTTTTTACGCTATTTTCTTCCAAGACCCTGAGATTATTTGTAAGTTCATCTTTTTAATTAATGACAATTTATTCTATTCATCTCAATTCTGTTGATTCTTCAATTATGAATTGTGAGTAGTTTAATTAGGGATTTGGGATTGATGAAGGGGTTAATCATGATTGATGGCTAGATTCTTGTCGGTTTAATTGCATGAATGCCGTTTAATTTGTGTTTGAATAATTTAACTGATATCTTTTGTAACCTGGAACCGCGGCTAGAATTACAATTGCTTGTAGAATAAATTAAGAAAGATCTAGTTTATTCTAAGATACATTCATACACACTTAATCGTTCGCTAAGAGATTAGTAGCGATTAAGGAGCCGTAAGCTCGCTCGTCTTGGCAATAATTTAGGATCCTGTCGCATGAGAGATCAGCCTGGTCCCCTAAATTATTGTACTCTACGCCGCGAGAGCGGTAAGAACTTAGTAATGATTAGCTAGGCTCAATTAAATCAATTTCATGTAATTAGGTCTGATCTGCCAGAAATCTGGTTACCCCCGGAATCAATCCCTATTTCCTTCGTCATTAATTAATTAGAAACCACATTTAGTTTAAGGAAAAATTGAAAATAATAATCCCAACTATTGCCGGTCCGCTGATAATAATCCCAACTATTGATTATTTTTGTATAATCCCAACTATATGTATCGTCCGCCAATAATGGTCCATGGTCAGATATTACCTCCTATAAAAAGTGAATTTTAAATAGAAATTAAGTGTAAAAATTAAAAATTGAGATTATTTATAGGGAACACTTGCTATATCACACCCCATCCACTTTAGAAACTACATAAATTTATTTGTAGGGACCACTATTGGCGGAAGGTCCCTAAAGTTGGGATTATTCTGAAATAATCGATAGTTGGGATTATTATAAGCGGACCGCCAATAGTTGGGATTATTACTATCAATTTTTCCTTAGTTTAAGGAAAAATTGAAAATAATAATCCCAACTATTGCCGGTCCGCTGATAATAATCCCAACTATTGATTATTTTTGTATAATCCCAACTATATGTATCGTCCGCCAATAATGGTCCATGGTCAGATATTACCTCCTAAAGTTGGGATTATTCTGAAATAATCGATAGTTGGGATTATTATAAGCGGACCGCCAATAGTTGGGATTATTACTATCAATTTTTCCTTAGTTTAATCGTTTTATTCGCATTAGTTTAATTTTCCATTCCAATCATATCTCGCACGACGCATTTATTTTATTTATTTATTTTTAATCGCTGAATTTAATTAATTCTTGATTCCCTTTTGTCCGTCCCTGTGGAGACGATACTCGTACTTACACCACTATATTACGATCTATTTTAAGTGCGAGAAAACACTCATCAATCATACATTGTTATATTTTTAGAGCTTAGATTTTAGTTGGTGGCCAGAAATTTCGTGAAACATTTCACAAGTGGTTGTAAACACTTGTGAAAAGTCTAAGGACTGAGTAACTTTGAGTGGTGTTATACTCATCGTGAAAAACCTTCAATCTAGGCCTGAGTGTTGTAAAGGCTAGATTGGCACTAAGTGTATTGGGCTTAATACTTTAGTGGAAATCCATCTGAAATAGGGTGGGACTGGATATAGGAGGATTACACCACCTCTGAACCAGGATATATCGTGTGTTGATTTTCTTTTACTCAATAGAGCACACACCCAACACTTCTCACTAGAGGGATTGTAGTTTGCCAGCAGCATCCTGAGCAGTAGTCTTAATTGACTCTACTGCTTATCCTACTGCTTAATAACTTACTTTTCCTTAAGACAACTGTTTCACACGAGCTTTGGAATACCACTACTAAAAGGTCTGGTTTGCCAGTTCTCAGAAATACTTCTTTCATACTCAGGAGGTGGCTAGCAGTTTCCTGAGTCTACCCAACTGTTCAGACCGCTGCTCAGGCAAAACCCCTTTTCATCTCCAGCTCAGCACATATTCAGTAAGCCCTCATCATTCTGTACAAGGCCATATAATCATCAATCCCAAACTCCTATTTTCCACTAGCAGTTGCCTCAGCAGTTCTCTGGCATCCAGGCAACTGCCAAGCCAACTGCTCACTGTTTAAAGTCCAAACATCACTCAAACTAGAAAGTTGTCTCATACTAATAATCAAGAGGTTAAAGACTTCCGCTGTGCATCTATTAATCTCACAAAAGATTATAGATCAACTCATCTAGAGGGGAAGAGTTCTTAAAGACGAAAAAGCTTTAAAAGTCTATTCACCCCCCCCCCCCCCCCCCCCCCCCTCTCTAGACTTTTACCTCTATCCGGGACCATCAAGTGGTATCAGAGCAGAGTGTTTCTAGAGTCAGTTTCTGACTAATTTGAACTAAAGATCCAAATCCACTTCACTCCCAAAACTTTCTAAAAATGGATAGACAGCCAGTAAGGAATCTTTTTATCAACAGCAACAAGTCTGATGACTGGAAAACAAAGGATGTATGGGATGAACTCACAAAGATCCAATCAGAAGATGATCAAAGCAGCTCAAATGATGAAAGCTGCTCATCAGAAAGGCAGAAGGATGCTATTACTTGCCTATTTGGAATGTTCCCAGAAAATAGCTCCTCTCACAACTATGGTATGGCCAAATCACATGAAGGTGACAATGATGAGGTATTATCCTGTTCTTCTAGCAACTCATATTACTCCAACTCTTCCAATGTTGATATGGAGGCATTGCTCCATCAATTTGAAAACTTCCAAAAAGACCATCTTAGCTTAATAAATGAAAATTGTAGACTTCAAGAAAATCTAATAGTAGCTCATGCTCAAATGGGTGAAGTAATAAAAAGGAAAGACTTTCTTGAAAGTGAAAACATCAGTTTGAGAGAAAGGCTGAGCTCCCCTTCTCTCCCCTCTGCTAAGGAAGTTCAGCACAACAAAAAGAATACAGGATACACATCATTTCCCCAACCATTGAAAGGCTTTCCCAAATACTCTCCTACCACAAAACACATCTTCAAAAAGAACACAAAGCTTCTAAGCCACCAACACTCCCATGTTCATACAGTTCCCACAAGAAGGAACATGTCTACTCTCAAACCAAAATCCAAATCCCTGTACAAACAAAAACTTCCTATCAAACAAGAAAACCAGAGAACCAGTTGGCAAACCACCAATAAGACCATTTACCAACCAAAGAAGCAGAAAAATCAACCCAGAAGAAATCACTCTTCTCCTACATACAGGAGAAAGAAGATAAACACCTACACAGCCACTCCATTTGAGTACAACACCTCAAAAAGCTGTAGATCAAACTGCTCAGAAAGAAATGGTTCTAGATGGGTATGGATGCCTGAAATTGTTCAAAGGAAGATGCCCACTTCAATGTGGGCTACCACCACTCAACAATGATAATACAGGAAGGTGCTGGAGCAACTGACTGAACAAAATAGTACATACATTTTGGCTGCTCCAGGCACATGACAGGAAGCAGGAAGCTACTGTCAATCTTAATGAAAAGGAAGGACCCGAAGGAACATTTGGAAATGAGAAGAACAAAAGAAGAAATCAAAGGAGCTGGATCAAAAGAAAGAACTTACAAACCATTACATATCTTATGTTGAGGTTGTAAAATTCAATCAAATAAGCACAAGCCTACTCCAGATTAAACGGACATCTGCTTGATTAGAGATGTCAAAAAGGGGTGTAATTGTACTTAATGATAGACAAAGGAAGGACCATCTATGTGATACAAGAAGGGAAGCAAACCAGACCACTGTCAGCAGGTGACTCAAACTGCAGACAACTGCCAGCAGTAGGCTTCGATCACACAGGATCATCACCAGAATTGAAGCTCCTAATCTTCCAATTCTATCTGAGGAGAGTGATGAGAAAGAGGAAGAAAAGCAGCAGACTCAAATTAATCAAACATCTAATACTAGATGGTTGAGTCAACATCCTCCTCATCAAATCATTGGAAACATCCATGAGGGAGTACGTATCAGATCAGAAAGCAGCTGCTGTGCTCAAATACTCTGGAAGAAACAACAATTGAAGAAACTTAGTGTAACACCCCCAAATCTCCCACCCAAAAACATTGATATGTTTGAAGTAAAATCTTTATTCATTCATAATATAATTGACGAAATACAGCGGAAATCTTGAAATAAGAAGGTGTTACCGCCACATCCGACCAAACATAGTCGGATGCACAGGCCAAAAAAAAATAGTAATAGTTAATCTATGAGTTCATAACATAAATAAAATGTTTATTCCAGACTAGGTTTAACTAAGGTATCTTCTAGAATGCTCTCGGGCTCAAGCAGTCATCAATCAACATTAGCATCATCACCTGTTCGCATATGGGGAACGGGACAAAACACATAAAGAATAAAAATTAGCGAAAGCTAAGTAAGTACTACCCAACCCCGTAAAATAATGTAATTTGTCACAAATAGTACTTATAAATATAACTCACACGTATCACTTTTCAAAATATGATTTATAGCCAATATACTTAATTTCTCTTTGAAAATACTCTCCATTGTCTCCTTTCAAAACCAATATCATTACATCTCCTACTTTCTTTTAAGATGGGTGGTACTTTCGGATACTATTGCCCGAAGCCCAATGAGTCATTGTTATTTACGAACTCATCCCGGAATCCGGTTCCCATCACTCTACTATTGGAATCTAAACGACTACCTTAAGTGTGCACACCCCCTAAAAGGGATTCCAAGCCCTCCGAGTAGTAAGTCATCTCGAGTAGTCGGGACTCAGTCTACCAACTACTCCTCCTCTATAAAATCAAGTGATTAGGAATTTCTACTACTACTCCTCGAGTAGTAGTAATTGTGACAGTAATTAAGAATATTGTAATAAATTTAGTGGTTAAATATTTTGACAGGATTAACATTAAACGAATTATAGTACTTCAAATGTTTATAATTATCATTTTTAATTTCGGAAATAGGGGTGAATAAAATAATGATTAATTCGGACGTAGCACTTTGGGAAAGGTATTGTTTATTGCGGGATTAATTAACGTATATTAATAAACTAGCGTACTTAAGGAAATCGGATATTTTTAATTTGCCTATTTTGGGATATATTAAAATAGTTACATTGGGACTAATTAATGTTGTTAAATAATTCAGTTATGTTATTAATAACCTATAGTTAGTCGGATACTTTGAAAGTATTTTACAAACACAAGAGTCAATTAGATTAAATTGTGAATCGTAATTAATGACATAAACTAAACCAACTCGAATATTTTAATGACACCAGAATCTTATTTGGTAAAACATAACTATATTCGAATAATAAATTAGTTAAAGAATAAAGTGGTAGCTAGGATTAATCAAAGTATCTAATTAAAAGAAATAAATAACTCAATCAAGTAATTACCAGAATTAATGAGGTATTATATAATACTAAAGAGGGAGTGGGATCGCTATAGGATAAAGGACTAATTGTATACTCTTAATTAAAAAGGTGGTTTAGAGACCGAGTTAGAAGGCGTGAACTAGGAGCGTCACCAATTTGAGGTAAGTTTCTCTGCCGATCCAAAATTGTTTTCCTCGTATTATATGATTATTATGTGTTATGTGATTAAAGTGTGAATTTTGAGTATGCATTATTTGAAGTTATATTAAATTTATAGTATTTGAGATAGTTGAGTTATGATGTATTAAATATTTTAAAATGCCATTGAGAACATTTTTGGAGACTTGAGAAATATCTTGAAGTATATCGTTTTAAGATGAAAATTAACATTTTCATAAGAGATGAGCACCCGGGAGAAATCCGTGGTGTCGGTTTTCCACATCCGGATAAATGTGGAGGGTGATTAGGGTTACTACTACTTGGAGTACAGTTTTAGTAGGTCGGTAGCCAACCCGACATTTGGATCATTGATCCCAGGCATAGTAGTAGAAATTCCTAATCACTTGATTTTATAGAGGAGGAGTAGTTGGTAGACTGAGTCCCGACTACTCGAGATGACTTACTACTCGGAGGGCTTGGAATCCCTTTTAGGGGGTGTGCACACTTAAGGTAGTCGTTTAGATTCCAATAGTAGAGTGATGGGAACTGGATTCCGGGATGACTTCGTAAATAACAACGACTCATTGGGCTTCGGGCAATAGTATCCGAAAGTACCACCCATCTTAAAAGAAAGTAGGAGATGTAATGATATTGGTTTTGAAAGGAGACAATGGAGAGTATTTTCAAAGAGAAATTAAGTATATTGGCTATAAATCATATTTTGAAAAGTGATACGTGTGAGTTATATTTATAAGTACTATTTGTGACAAATTACATTATTTTATGGGGTTGGGTAGTACTTACTTAGCTTTCGCTAATTTTTATTCTTTATGTGTTTTGTCCCGTTCCCCATATGCGAACAGGTGATGATGCTAATGTTGATTGATGACTGCTTGAGCCCGAGAGCGTTCTAGAAGATACCTTAGTTAAACCTAGTCTGGAATAAACATTTTATTTATGTTATGAACTCATAGATTAACTATTACTATTTTTTTTTTTGGCCTGTGCATCCGACTATGTTTGGTCGGATGTGGCGGTAACACCTTCTTATTTCAAGATTTCTGCTGTATTTCGTCAATTATATTATGAATGAATAAAGATTTTACTTCAAACATATCACTGTTTGATATAAGGCGGTATCAGAGCAACCCCGCGACAGTGTGCTGACCCGTTGGATATCAGGCGGGCACTTAACGGGGGAAGATTCTGGGATTTGATTGAGATTTGAGATTGGTTCATGGGCACAACGAGGACGTTGCGATCCTAAGTGGGGGTGATTGTAACACTTAAGATTTAATATAAATGGATTAATAGTACTACTCATACCAACAGAGGTGCATCTCCTTTTAAGGGAGCTCATCACCCAAGAACTACAAAGTTAAGCGTGCTTGCACGGGAGTAGTCTTGGGATGGGTGACCCCCTGGGAAGTTTCTCAGGGCGCGCACGAGTGAGGACAAAGTGCGCGGTAAAGGCTCGTGGTGGTTTGTGGGGACAGTACTATTGGTCCGGAGTAACTACCTCGGGTCCTACGGGGCCGGGGTGTTACACTTAGAAAGCTTGATGATCTCAATCAACTTAAAGATTAATGGTGCATCAACTTAGGGGGAACCTAACTCAAAATATTTCAAAATATCTTGATCATAAGGAGCATTATCTAAGGGGGGAATGCGTTCTCAGAAACAAGGGAATGAAGCAACAAGGTCCGAACAAAAAGAATAAAAGAAGAAGGCTCAGCAGAGGTCTCTGCCTAGCAGCAGGAGGCCACTGTCAAAAACAAGGCAAGACTAGTAGCCAAAGGCTACTGCCAGGAAGAAGGTATAGATTTGATGAAACCTTTGCTCCTGTTGCCAGACTAGAGGCTATAAGAATATTCTTAACCTATGCTGCCCATAAGCAATTCACTGTCTATCTGTAACACCCCGATTTTCATGAGCTAGTTATGTTAATCATTATTATTTATTTTAGTCAGCTAAATATGTTACTTGTGTGAATAATGTGATATATTATTTTTTTCCAAGTTTTGTTTGTGGCAGGTAACGTTAACCGGTAAGCTCTAACAATTTTAAGTGAAGAAATAATTGATAATATATGTTTTATTAGTATACTCTTAAGAGGCAGAATATAATAATTCGGTTGGGTCAGATTCAATTTATTAAGAAGTCTAAGACACTCCAGATCAGTTATCTTGGCCCGAATTAGTATCTTGCTTTTAAAAAAAACCCAAAGGAATATTATATGCATGGTTTATATTCCAGCCGCACCTTTCTTCTCTTTCAATCGATCGTACCCCAATCTCTCTGGTTTTCTCTCCTGCACACTCCCTCACTTTCAAATCAAGTGCTCTGGCTCTCTTGGTTTTGAAACCTGGTAAGTTCAATTTTTCCACCAAGCTTTATTCAGATGATAACATCTTTGATCAAGTATATCTATTTCTTTGCTCTAATCGTTTTCTCTATCTCTGTGAGAATAGATGTTCGTAAATGAGTTTTTGTACTTTAGTTTTGTAATTAAGAGATTTATTTTGGGAGTTATCAATTAGATCCTTTCAAATTCAGTTTTAATAAAAATTCCAATCATCCGTATCTAGCAATTGTATATATTGATCGATACTCTCTATTTTAGTTGAGCAATGCTTCCCAACTTTTCATCCTTTCACTTATTGATGGGTGGAGCAAATTTCCTCTTTAAGCCAAACTACCCTTTAGATAAAAGTTTGTTGTGTGTGTAAGTTTTGCTGAGACAGAATTTAGAGTTTGATTTGCTCTGGTTTCTGTCCTTGGGTTTCGACACCAGATTTGTGCGCAGCAAACTTTTATTTCTATACAAACGATTAAATTTGAGTATAATAATGTTGGGGGAAAACACGATCCCCCGACCTCTTCCAGGATCATCAGCTCAAAGGTCTCTTGTACATTCACCCACCAACTCGTAACACAAAGATTCAATCTAACAATATCACTTTGTATTATACTATTGAAATATACAAGAGATATTTTACATGTAAACGGGTAGCTCACATCACTCTTTGTATATGGGACTACTTCACTCTCACTCTCTTATCTCAAGGAGGCTCTCCCTCACTCAAGAGCTCTCCTTGAGGCTCCTCTCTTACATCCCTCAAGGAGGCTCTCTCTCTAGGCCCTCACTCACATGGCTCTCTCTCTAGAGGCTCTCTCTCATTTAGGAATGAGGAATCTCACCCCTATTTATACAACTCATCTCAAAGCTTCTCTAGAACTTTCTATACATCACTACATTTCTAGATTCTTCCAAGAACTATCCACAAGTTTCTCTAATCTTCTAGAAGGATCTAGAGAACTCCACATCGCTTGAGAATGTTCTAGAGGCTTCCACAAACTTCCGCACGATTCTAGAGAATTCCACATTTCTCTAGAAAACTCCACAATGTTCTAGAATATTCTACACTCTTCCACACGCTTCTAGATAATTCCACGTCTCTCTAGAAAGCTCCGGAATATTCTAGAACCTTCAATATTTCTCTACACACATCTAGAGAATTCTAGACATCTCCGCACTGTTCTAGAATTCTCATTAACTTCTCAATTAAGGAGGGATCCCAACAAATCTCCCCCTACCGACTTAATTGAGAAGTAGCGGTCAACCACCAATAATAGTCTCACATTTAGACTCACTGACCTCCACCTTCATGTGAGTTGCTCCCCCTCAAACAATGCTTGCATCACACCATAAGAGCAGCCACCTAGGAATGGTCATGATCTCCTCTGCAACAAGAATTGATCTACCAAACTCTCTTGTACCGCCGCTATCTACTAACGGGACAC